CGACGTGGGCGCAGAAATCGTCCGGGGATCATTTCCATGATCTGTGCCACTGCTTCCAACGGTGATATCGTCTGTATTTAGCACCTGAGGCAAACTAGAGTCTCTGCCAGGATTGTTAAATTCATTAGGCAAATTAACAGGCAAATTAACATGTTGATCATCCAAACTACTGTCCCCTTTGGTAGCCACGGAATCAGGAGATAACAGGAGGATCTCTGAGCATAGACGAGCACCCGCATTGGGATGCATCTCGGCAAAAGGAAAAATTGTTTCATCGAATGTGACGTCTCTAGAGATATAGACATGCCCAGATGCAATGTCCAGACATTTATACCCCTTGTGAAGATTACTATAACCCAGAAGGACGCATCTCTTAGAGCGGAACTGGAGTTTATGGGCATTATACGGGCGAAGATTGGGCCAACAGGCACAACCAAACGTCCTTAGGGAGGAGTAATCTGGTTTTTGACCAAAGAGGCGCTCCAGGGGCGTAGTAAAATTGATGACTGCACTAGGAAGGTGATTGATGAGATATGTGGCTGTGAGGAACGCTTCGTCCCAAAATTTCAGGGGCATACTGGCGCATGATAGAAGAGCTAGACCAACTTCAAGGATGTGCTGATGTTTGCGCTCGGCGGCACCATTTTGTTGGTGCGCATGAGGACATGAAACATGATGCGAGATGCCAATTTTAGTAAAAAAGGAGCTAAGCCTTTGATATTCACCACCCCAATCAGTTTGGATGGCTTTTATTTTTCGATCAAGCAACCTTTCAACTAGGTTCTAAAAATCATGAAATTTCTGAAAGACTTCAGACTTATATTTAATGAGGTAGATCCATGTAAACTTGCTATAATCATCGATAAAACTAACATAATATTGTTTTCTGCCAACAGACTCGATAGCTTGACCCCACACATCAGAGTACACAAGTTCTAAAGGAGCACTAGATTGACTCACTGACTTAGGATAGGGCAACTGGTGTGCTTTTGCTTGTTGACAAGCATCGCGCACATGCTCATTATTGGACTCTGAAGCAAATGAAAGGCTATTATTACTAGTGATGCGACGAACGATCGGGGGAGCTAGATGTCCTAGTCGTTCATGCCACCGAGACAGGGACGGGCGAGATGCCGTGAGGACTTGTTTTGGCGGTGAAGGAAGAGGGTATAGCCCCCGATGACAATGACCTTTAAGCAGAGTTTTCTTGGTTGCCTGATCCTTAACCAAAAAATAGGTGGGGTGAAATTCCATGTAGGCAGAGTTATCAGAAGTAAATCGATGAACTGAAACAAGATTCTTGGAAGCCTTAGGTACATGCAGAACATTTTTTAACTGGAGATTGCGGGTAGGGGTAACAATAGTAGATTGACCAACATGTTTAATTGCCATACCTGCACCGCTTGCAGTGTGGATCTGATCACCACCATTGTACTTCTCACGCATGGAGAGTTTCTCTAACTCGCTGGTGATGTGGTCAGTGGAGCCGCTGTCGGTGTACCAATTGGTGTCGATGTTGTATGAACCAGCTTGTCGGCGCCGCATGCCTTTCTTCAGGGACAAAGTCCTCATCGAAGCGGTGCCAACAACGAGCTGCAGTGTGCCCCTCCTTGAAGCACACCTGACTGATTGGTTTGTCCTGCTTCTTGTTGTTGGAGCCGCCACCTTGCTGGTTGCTCCTTTGACTGCGACCACGACCCCCACCATTTGGAGGGCCGCGCCCACGTCCACGATAGGGACCACCACGACCACAATTATTACCGCGGCCTCCTCCACGGCCGGTCATGTTGGCCGAGCTCTGGTCACCGCCTTGGACCAGATCCATCCTGGTCTCGAAGTTGAGGAGCTGTGAATACAACTCGTCGATGGTCACCGATTCCACCCTCGTGACGAGAGAGGTAACCAGTGACTCGTATTCCGCGGGCAAGCCGATGAGTATGTACTCAACCAGCTCGTCATCAGTGATTGGTCATCCAGAGGCCACCATCTCATCGCTGAAACCTTTCATCTTGGTGAAATAATCAGTAGCAGATGAGTTACCTTTCTTGGTATTGGCGAGGGAGATGCGTAGATTTACCGCGCGCGCACGGGTTTGTGAGGCAAACATGGCCTCAAGCTTAGCCCATGCATCAGTCGCCATCTTCGTCTTGGCGATGTGGCTGAGAATACTCGGAGAGACGGAAGTGAGAAGGAAGCTGAGGATCTGCTGATCCCGTGCCTCCCATTCTTCGAACGCCGAGTTGGAGACCTTCTTGCCATCCTTGTCCTCAATCTCCATCACTGGCGGCTTAGAGGCACCAGTGAGATGGCCGTACAGGCGAGCACCGCGCATGGCCGAGAGCACCTGGGCTTCCCAAATGGAGTGAATGCTCCTAGTAAGCTTCTCTGTCATAGCGCCGGCCGAGAGAGGGTTGCTGTTAGGATGGGGGGTCGAAGAAGACATGGTGGGCGGCAATTAGATCTATTTAGTGTTTGTGGCTCTGATACCATGTAGAAAATACAGAGGGCAGATGATGAAAGCGCTTAGCAAGATGATAGCCAGGGGCGCTGTACGTGTTGATTTATAACGCCAATAGCGCAGCTCATATACAAGGCAACAACCTCCGGTGATTACGGCATGAGAGTCCCATGTTTCTAGGAATCTATACAACATTTTCTATTTTACAGATTCTATCTTTAGTAACAAACCTACAACCATGAACTCTCATGTCGTCCTGCCCAGGATTTACATTGACACATCAACACGTCACAAACTATTTCTAACACGGAGCACCAAATCCAGCAGGATTCAGATTCGATTGAGGAAGAGGATCAAGCAGAGTACCTTGCGCTGAAGGTCACGAAGCACCCAGTAAACTCCCTAGCTTTAATCTCACTCCGTAGGAGCTGGATTACAGGGGGAGAAAATCGCCCCTCTCTCTCTCTACTGTTGACTCGAACAATTGAGAAGGCAGTCTCTGCTGGGACTTGGAGAGTGGCGAACTACAGAATCAGCTTGTTGGATGGATGTTTGTGTGTACACGGTTGGTCGGATTATTAGGCAGCGCACTCCACTCGGATGCCTGCAATGCTTCCTCCAATCTCTAGTGACCAATCTCACGGAGAAGGTGGAGATAAGGAAAATCGCCTCTCTCTATTGTTCACATACGAACACTCGAGAAGGCAAAAGACAGCCAGCAAGATCACTCTAGTTCTAGCTCTTCATACTGAGCGCAGTTTTTTGATGGAGCTAGAGTTATTTTAAAAACAAATATTTAGCAATAATAGCTCTAATAACAGTTTTATAACAATTTATATTAGATTTATGAAGAGAAACAGAAGAAGTCATTTTTTTCTATGGATTGTCTATAAAAAACGGCTCTGGCTCCGACTTCTTTAGGCTCCACGCAATAGGACTCTTGCAAGGAGACACAAGGAGCCGAAGCCTGGAATCAGCTTTTGTATGGGTTCTTGTTTATGAGAGTCTCCAGTTCAGCTTCCTGCAGCAAGGCAAGGGTACAGGCTACTTCCAGGTTGGGGGTCGATGTAGAGTAACCGGTGCTCTGATCTTCTCCTTCAAGCCCCCTAAGAACCTTGTGATAAAGTACACATCATCATAGAAAGGGTTGCAGAGCAAAATACTGTGAGCCAACTGCTCAAATTTCGCCTGGTACTCAGCCACTGTCCTAGTTTGTTTGAGTTGCTCAAGCTGCTTCATATGGAAGGGATATTGATCCTTATCGAAATAGGCACGGACAACCGCCTCATGCAACGCCTATAACCGCCCACGCAACTGAATGGTCTGGAGCCAGGTAGTCGCAGAACAAATGAAATTAAGGGCGGCGAAGCGCGGCTTCATAGCATCTATAACACAATAGATCTTGAAGTACAGCTCGCACTGCTCCTTCCACAATCTCGGGTGTCGCCATCAAATTTGGGGAAATCCATTTTGGGAACAGATCCAAGGCGAGGTGTATGAGCAAATGAACTAGAGGTAACATCGAACGAATGGAGCGCAAGATCGTGATACATACTCTTGTGTGAAATCAGCGGAGGGGATCAGAGGATCCCCCCGCCCACACCGTGCCCGCTTGGCTGCTTCTCGAGAGAAGCATATGGGCGCCCTCCCGATATTGGAGCAAAGTTGAGGTCGACACCCACAAGCCAGCTCGCCGGTGGAGGTAATGATGGAGGCGACGATGGCGGCGGTGGTGGAGGAGGCGGAGCCGACGTCTTCTCGAGGTGGTTAATCCGTAAAACCGCCTCGGTCGTCTTGGTCAGCAGCGACCCCAGAGACGCGTCGGTGGTGGTCCTCCACGCCTCAAAGCTGGACATCTTGTCCAACATCTGCTTTATCATGATATCGAAGCCCTTGAACTGCTCCTTGAGATCATCGACGTTGCTCACCATTGTCGCCTGCAGAGAGGGAGCTCTCTTGTTCAGCGCCAGGCCGAATCCGAGCAATACATAAAAAAATCTATCCGAGGATTGATGGCTCTCGATACAGATCTCCCGGGGAAGAAGAGGAATCGTATTCAGGAAGAACAGGAGAGGCTTGGAAGTGTGTTGGGGCTTGGGGGGAAGGGGGGTGGGATTCGAGTTTCTGTTATTCCTTAACCACCGACAGATGCCGTTATCCACCTTTTATATACTCTAATAAGGCGGGTTCAGATTACAGGGCCGCTTGGGCCGGAATCACAGGCTCGTAGGCCCAGAACAAAAGACTTGGCAACGGGCCAGAAGTCTAAACTACCCACTCGTAGATGCTCATGTCATGCTGACCTTGTCCGTGACAAACACGTGCGCCCTAATTTTTTTACGATGTAACCTTTTTTTGAAAAAAAAAATTACGTTAGGTCCCTTGAGAGACTTAAACTCATCTTTGACCCTGGAGGTCGGCGTCAGGACTCATGGCGCCGAGGTAACATGTCTCGACGTCACAGATCTTGACACCGAGGTGTCTGACCGTGCACAGCAGGCATCTAGGTGACTTTCACGTGAGCGGTACCTCTGGTGCCGAGATGGTATGCACCCGCGCGACGGGATGTGTGCGGGAGACACGGCCACGAGGCGGTCTGCGGCTGCTGCATGCGCGCTCCTCCCTCGGGACGCGTGGCTGGGGACCTGCAGTGCATTCTGAATTACTTGAAGAGTCACATCAGCTGGCCTTATGTGCGTATATTTATTTCTCTAGTACTGGTAGATTACATCTCAGTACAGGGAAAAGTAGGTGGCTAAGATAGTTGTATCACTGAGAAATTAAATATGCCAATACGATCTACCCTCTCTATTTTAAATATAATTTATATTAGCTTTATTCAAATTAAAGTCAATTTTTACTAACTTTGAACAATTATATAAAAAAATCTCAATGATGGACTGCTGACTGCGGCTGCTGCATGCTTGCGCGGATAGCTTGGGGTTGCAGTAAATCCTGTGACACCTACCCAGCCTGCAGAAAATATTAGCCTGTTCGCTTAATCGTATACGATCGTGGATTATAAGCTATAACAGTATTTTTCTCTCACGCTAAACCAGGCAATAGTAAATAATCCACGATCGTTTACGACGAAACGAACAGGATACCTTCTTTACTCCTGGAATGGCTCTGCAACTGCAACTGCAAATGCAGATTTGACCTCCCAGAACGAATCAATCAGGAGAAGATGTTTCACATGGAAGAGTGAGCTCTTCAGCTGAAGGTAGGCCCTTATAAAAGGTTTTCCTGTTTCAGTGAAATCTGTTAATCGTCATTTAGATCCCCCGAGTTGTGCCCAGAACTGTGAAACTGGAACCAAATTTGTTGGATCTAAATTGGCCTGACTTGTTTAGATCGTAACTCCACTATTTTATGTTAATAGGTGGCGATGCATTTGAGATCTGGAAATTGTAGTACAGAAATGTTTGTATTTGATGTAAACATTTTTTTCCCTTGCAGCTATCGGACAACTGGGTGCACAGCTTGGACCAGCACAACCGAACACTCAGCAACTTGAAGGTATTAGCTCAATGCTTGCCTGCTGTTTGTGCCATGTTTGCTTTTCATTTTGCTTTTAGTAATCACGGATTCTGTTCTTTCCTTAACTTTTAATCACATCCAGTCTTATTTTTTAGTAAGAGCAGAGGAATAAGACTAAAATCACTGAGATACGGGCTTAAGGCTGACCCTTTATGAAGTTCAATTTTAATCGGGAAGTAATCTGTGTTACCATCGCTATGTAAAAACACTATCAAATTTTCACTGTATTTATGTAAAAACATATTAACATATACAAGTGTTGAAATAAGTACACTATCAAATTAAACATATCTAATTGAAGAATTTAATGAAACTAACTTGATATTATGTTATTGCATTTTTTATATAATTGTTCAAAGTTAGTAAAAATTGACTTTCATTTGAATAAAGCTAATATAAATTATATTTAAAACAGAGAGGGTAGATCATATTGGCATATTTAATTTCTCAGTGATACAACTATCTTAGCCACATACTTTTTCCTGAATTGAGATGTAATCTACCAGTACTAGAGAAATAAATATACGCACATAAATAGGCGCCAGCTGATGTGACTTTTCAAGTAATTCACAATGCGCTGCACCATCTGTTCCTCTGCATGCGATGCACGGTCACCAGCCACGCGTCCCGAGGGAGGAGGGCGCATGCAGCAGCCGCAGTCTGCCTCGCGGCCGTGTCTCCCGCACCCATCCCGTCGTGCGAGTGCGTACCGGCGTCGAGCTCGGCGTCGTATATTCTGCCTTCGAGTACCGGCCACGTGAATGTCCTAGGATGCTTTGCTGTGCACGGCCAGACATCTCGACGCTAAGATCTGTGGCATCGAGACGTGTTACTTCGGCGCTATGAGTCCTGGCGTCGACCCCAGAATCCAAAGATGAGTTTAAGTCTCTCAAGGGACAGAACGTAATTTTTTTTTTCAAAAAAGGGTTAAATTATAAAAAAAATAGGCACGTGCGCTGGGTACGTTTGGTAGCTAGGCCCTTGGTCGTACCTGCCTAGTCTAGTACAGTAGTAGGTAATTAGTCCCGATCGATCCTTGCGAATTGTTCCAACTTCCAAGCATGAAACCGTCCAAGGCAAAACTTGAACTGCATATTAGACTAGTGATCAGTGATTGATGTGATGCATTATAGCCACGGTGGAGAGGAATCGTTCTTGGCTTCTGTTCTCTGTTTTCTAAGCAAAGTCAAAACTAGAACTACTAATTGTTTCAAAAAAAGAGTAGAACTACTTACTAAGTTTGATATGATTGCTTCATTCAAGACCCTTAATCTTTATGTATCTGTAATTGATAGAATGACTCTGTTCTTCCTACTATATCATTTTGAAAAAATTGATATGTTTAGTTAATTCAATACCATATAACTTTGTGTATTTACAATTCATAGAATAATTTCTGAATTTTGTTATTTGTAATTTTCATTTTTTTATGTTTTTTATTTTCCTATTTTGATATGTTTGCTCAATTGAAGGCCCAAGTATTTCTGTTATTTTTCAAGACATAAAATAAATTTTGATTTTTTTCACTTTGATTAATTTTCATCTACATATGCTTTGTTCGAATATATAGAATTTATTTAGTTTCTCTATATATACCATGCCCGGGTGAAAATCTTCTTTCTATTTTTTTGCTCTAATTTTCTTTCCCTTTCTTTTTTTTCCTAAATAGAATGCATGAAAGGAACTAGGATTCCCGTGAAAATTCCTCTCTCCCGCACCTCAATTTTAGTTACTATCAATTGTTATGTCATATTTAAGTAGTGCGTATTTGTGTAAAAACTGTTCTTAGTCAAGTTGAAAAAAAAAACTGTTCTTAGTCTGCCCATTTCGCTTTGACCAGCAGAAGCCATTAGCTGCCCCCACCCCACTTGTGAGTTGCGCGGCTTCCACACGTTTATTATACTCCTATATATATATATATTCAATATTCTTGAAAGAAGGTAGCTTTGCAGTTGTACACGTAAATATGCGTATGGGAACAAGCAAGTCACACTTGCGTGTCTTCTTGTTTCTTGTTGTGGTCCTGGGCTTGTCGTCCCAACTCCAAACGGCATTCAGCCAAATCCTGCTGCAGGTAAAAGAAAATATTATCAATAATCAATGTTACTTAGTAATTTTTCTGTATTAATTTGCAGTTAATCACAAAAACAGTTTGTTAGTACTACTTGAGTTCACTCCGATCGATCGATCCATGCGTTTAATTGGTAGGCCTTCAATTGGGAGTCATGGAACAAGGGAGGACCCGGATGGTACGACTACCTGCAGAGCCAGGTGGACGACATCGCCGCCGCCGGCATCACCCATGTGTGGCTACCACCGCCGTCGCACTCCGTCGACGCGCAAGGTTATCTTCCGGGGCGGCTGTACGACCTGAACGTGTCCCAGTACGGGAACGAGACGCAGCTGAGGGCCCTCATCGCGGCGTTCCACGGTAAGGGCGTCAAGTGCATCGCCGACATCGTCATCAACCACCGCACGGCGGAGAGCAAGGACAGCCGCGGCGTCTACTGCATCTTCGAAGGCGGCACGCCGGACGGCCGCCTGGACTGGGGCCCCCACATGATCTGCCGCAACGACAGCTACTCCGACGGCACGGGCAACGCCGACACCGGCCTGGACTACAAGCCGGCGCCGGACCTCGACCACCTGAACGACGTCGTCCGGAGCGACCTCACGGGGTGGCTCGAGTGGATGAAGAACGACGTCGGCTTCGACGGCTGGCGCCTCGACATGGCCAACGGCTACTCCCCGGCCGTCGCCGGCAGGTACATCAACAGCACCAGCACGACGCCTGACCTCGCGGTCGCGGAGATATGGACGGACATGGCGTACGAGCAGGACGGGATCAGGCCGCGCGCCGACCAGGACGCGCACCGGCAGGTCCTCGCAGACTGGGTGGACGCCGTCGGCGGCCCCGCGGCGGCAGCGTTCGATTACACCACCAAGGGCATCCTCCAGGCCGCGCTCAACTTCAGCGCGCTGTCGCGGATGAAGGACGCCCAGGGGAGGGCGCCCGGTCTGGTCGGCCTGCGCCCACCTCAGGCCGTCACGTTCGTCGACAACCACGACACCGGTTCAAAGACGCATCAGCTCTGGCCATTCCCGCCGGCGAAGCTCTTGCAGGGCTACGCCTACATCCTCACGCATCCCGGCACCCCTTGCATCGTACGTACTTTATCACATTCCTGGTGTTCTACTCTTCTATCTCTACCTATCAATGTTTATGTATATAGCTAGGAGCATATCTTCCATTGCAGTTTTACGACCATTTCTTCGATCCGAACATGAAAGACCAGATCACTACGATGATGGAGATAAGGACGCGGAACACGATTGGGCCGGCCAGCAAGTTGCAGATTCTCCTCGCTGAAAACGATGCATACGTCGCAGAGATCGACGGCAGTGTGCTAGCCAAGGTTGGACCTAGGTACGATGTCAGCAAGTACGTTCCTGACGGCTTCCAGGTGACCACCAGTGGAAGCGATTTCGCAATATGGGAGAAAAGGTACGTGCCTGCCTGCCTGCCTGCTCACGATTATATTGCCACATTGTATGATCGATGTTATTGGTAGTTGAATTATATGTTGTCTGTTCATCATCTTCATTTCAGCTCCGTTGTGCAAACGAACACACCGCCACCGTCAACAACAACAACAACAAGGTCGCGGAGGTGGGTAACGCCAGTCGTCGCCACGGTTGCGCCGCTCTCGGCCTTGCTCGCCTGCGGTGCTGCAGTGATGCTTCTGTTCCGGCGACAAAAGAGGAGGCGGAGGAGGCAACGGCTTCAGGAGAGCGCCAGGGCAATTGATCACTCCGATGACGACGACGACCATCACGACCAGTTCCAGGATGCTGATTTCGAAAAGGCGGTGGTGGGACCAAGGCGGTACCACTACCGCGAACTGGCGGCGGCGACCAACAACTTCGACGAGGAGAACAAGCTCGGGAGTGGCGGCTTCGGCCTTGTCTACCGCGGGTATCTCGCGGCGCAGGACCGCCACCGCCACGTCGCCGTCAAGGTGCTCTCACCGGAAACCTCCACACAGGGCCGCAGGCAGTTCGAGGCCGAGGTCCGGATCATCAGCCAGCTGCGGCACCGCAACCTCGTCCAGCTCGTCGGCTGGTGCGAGAGCCGCCGCAAGGGCCTCCTCCTGCTCGTCTACGAGCTCGTCCCGGAGGGCAGCCTTGACCAGCACCTCTACGGCGGCGCGAAGCGCCTCCTGGCGTGGCCGGAGAGGTACAGGATCGCGGTGGGGCTCGGCGCCGCGCTGGTGTACCTGCACGAGGAGTGGGAGCAGTACGTGGTGCACGGCGACATCAAGCCCAGCAACGTCATGCTAGACTCCTCTCACACCGCCAAGCTAGGCGACTTCGGCCTGGCCCGGCTCCTCGACCACGGCGTCGGGCCGCGCACCACCAGGGTCCTGATGGGTACCATGGGCTACATGGACCCGGACCTGGTGAACACGCACAAGCCCAGCAGGGCCTCCGACGTGTACAGCTTCGGCGTCGTGCTGCTAGAGGTCGCCTGCGGCAGGCCGTCCACGGACGAGCTGCCCGACGGCGGGGAGACGCTGGCGCTACCGGAGTGGGTGTGGGAGCTCTACGACCGCGGCGCCGTGCTGGAGGCCGCTGACGGTAGGCTGGACGGCCAATTCGACGTGTGGGAGATGGAGCGCATGCTGGTCGTAGGGCTCTGGTGCTCGCACCCGGTGCCCAGGGAGCGTCCGTCCATCGTGCATGCTCTCAACGTGCTGCAGTCCCGGGACGCCACCCTGCCGGCGCTCCCGACCAACGTCCATCGTGGCGCCGCGGCGCCAACTGCTGGGTTCAGTGCGTACGTTCACTCTATGTCGTCCGTCGGTAGCGTTGGAGAACCATGCTGATCTGATCTGATATGATACTAGTGCCACCCCGGATCTAAAAACATATACTAGAAGAGACTCATTCTCATTGTTTTCTACATTTAACTATTCTTTTTACGATAATGATACAATCAGGACATTCGTCTGTCCGGCAGGCCCAGTCCTATCAATTTATAGGACTGAAGCGAAGCTAGAGAGATGTGCCCTTCATTATAATTATAATGATATGCAATATGCATAAAAATTATATACATATTTTTTTTTTCTATTTCCACTTCTAAATACATGTTTTTTTGGCAACATGAGGACCCTGAGAATTTAGAAATTAGTGAGTATCGTTGTACTAGATTTAGTTCAATGTTAAAATAAACCGTGTGTTCGTAAATTACCATGTTTTTTTTTGCGAGAGTTGCCAAGTTGAGAACAGAGATAATAATTATTCACTGCCCTCGCTGCACCGTTAGTTATTCCCCAATACCAAATTAGAATTTCAAGTATGCAGACCTGGTATACTCCGGTCCCTTGGGATTGGGCCACTCCAAATTACGTATAGTATACTCTCCTGGATTGGGCCGGAGTATACCAGCTTATTACGTATGCAGACCTTGTATACCAGCTTAGTTATTCCCCAATCCCAGCTTATTATAGTATATGTATGTATGCAGACCTGGGATTGGGCCCCTTGGCCTCGACTCACCAGTCACCACAGCCCGAGCCTCCCGCCCGTCTTGCGCCCCGCCCACGGCGGCCGTCTCCAACCGCCTGCCGCGCACCGCACCGTCTGCTCGCCCAGACTCATTCCGCATGGCCACCTCCATCGCGCCGCGGATTCGCCTGGACTCCGTCCGCTCGCCATCGGCGCCTACATCCGCTGCCGCGGCCGCCTCCACCGCGCCAGTTCACCGTGCCACTGCCGCGGGCGTCTCCATCCACCTGCATTGGCCGCCTCCACCGCGCCAGTTCGCCGTACCGCCCGCCCATATTGCTCTGAAAGTGTATGTTGCAAACGTATATTTCAAGTGTTTCAGATGTTTCAGAGGTAGTGTTTCATATGGATGTTGCAAAAATAGATTCGGATATTGCATATGTTGAAATATACACGTATGTTGCAAGTGTCTATTCAAAATGTTTCATCTATTTTAGATGCGTGTTGCAAGTGTTTTATCTGGATGTTGCATATGTTGTAATTGCTATACACATATGTTGCAAGTGTATGTTAATGTGTTCATTAGTTTCAGACGTATGTTGTAGCATGTGTTTCATGTTGCAAGTGTTTCATATTTCAAGCGTATACTTTTGGATGGGGCAACCAGAGTCACGTGGTGCGTATTCGAAGATTCGAAGGTGGGCCGCATGGATTCCCGCGTGCGAGCGCGATACGGAGCAGGCGCGGGAAGCGGGCACAGGCAATCCCCATGTCCACGATATGGAGCGGGCGGTCCCCACGTGCGTGCGAGAAGCGGAGCGGGCGCGAGCGGTCCACGTGCATGCGTGCAGGAAACGGAGGGGACGGGGTGGTCCCGCGTGTGCGAGCAAAACGGAAGGCACGATGTTTCCTGCGTACACTCAGGCACACGTGAAACAGAGCAGGCATCCGGACATCCGGACGCTAGTATCTCTGTTGCTGTTTCTCACAATAAGGAAGAGTTTTCTATACTCCCGGGGGTAACTACTCCCTCCTCCTAGCGGGTACATCAGAAACCCAATAGGGAAGACGGCTTCATGCATGGCACATTTGAATGCCACCAATGAGAAAATATCGGTACAGCAGATTGGAGTACGTGAACTCTCTTTAAAATATAGTATTTATACATAGTACTTTTTAAAATAGAGTATCTATACATAATTTTTAGGATAGAGTATTTATATATACTTTTTGGAATGGAGTACATGTACATACTTTTTTAGAAGAATGGAGTATGTGTATATACTTTTTGGATAGAGTATTTATACATACTTGCAAACATACGCAAAGATTTAGATAGTATAGGTGCATACTAAACCACACGATCGGAGTATGTGCATACATTCACGTGTGGAGATATACAAAACAACGAGAGTATGTGCATACTTTTGTGAGAAGGGAGTATGCGTATATACTTTTCTCAACAAAATTACACTAATGTAGTACTCACATGCCAAAATCAAATCGTCAGTACTAAAAATTTAGAGATAATTGAATCAGCCTTCACTGCATATGCCTGCACCGTATCCCGCATGGAGTCGCCGGTGGAGCAACAACTCATGCGGGCAGGATTGCACGAACCAAATCCCACGACGACGGCGGGCAGCGGATGCCGATTGGAGCAGCTTCACGCGGACAGAAACTCTGATGATTGGTAGTCTCACGTTGAAGTCCGATCTGAAACCTATGGTGGAAAAAAATCAATGCTTAAAAATCCAAATGGAATCTGAATCCATCAGATGCGAGGACCCAAGAATCAAAAAATGAGGCATTCGTTCAAGGAGGCATAGCGAGAAAAGAAAAGGATAACCGATGCCTGGATCTGGATCGAGAGAGGCACCGTGCGAGAAAAGAAAAGGATAACCGATGCAGGCTCCTCAACCGTCGCCGGTCGCGGTTGTGGAGCGAGCGCCGCCGGATCCACAAGGCCAGGGGAGTGCCGCCGGATCAACTGACCTAGATTTGGAAGTTGTCGTGGGGCGCCGTGCGGGTCGGGCCACCGTCGCCGCCAGGGATGCCTACCGCACGGGCTGGCAGTGCCGTGCGCGCGGGGAGGGTCGGGGCCGCCGCCGTCGTAGTTTGATGGGGTGAGAGCGATGGGATGGCGCACAGACTTCGACACGGAGCTGCTCGGTGGGGACGGAGCTCGGACACCGGTGGGCTCGCGCAGCCCGGCGTGCCCGCTGGACGATGGCGGCGCTCACATCTCCGACGGGGCCATGGAAGAGAGGAGGAAGGGAAGAGGATGGCGGTGACTGCGAGATGCGTCGGGTGGGGCTCCCGCCTGAGATGCTTGTGGATCTTTCTATATATATTAGATTAACGGGTCTGTTTTTAAACCCGCGAACGTTCCACGGGTGTATATGTGTGTGTCAGTGTGTAATTAAGAGCAAGGACTAACTACTCAGGTCCAAGCCGATCCGTTCCACGCATGGTGATGGTGCTTTACAACACCGAGGGGAACACAGGTTGAACTACACAGAATGGCCTCATTGTGTTACTGGGAAAACTGAAAACAGTCGTGTAGCAAATAAAATCTTGAAGGGGGAGAACAAAATATAGGTGAGACAGCCAAAGGGTCTCTAGCTTATTGGTTAGAGTACCTGGGTAGCATCCAGCAGGTCTGGGTTCAACTCCGGGAGCAAATTTAAACAGGTCTGAAATAAAAAAAAAATAGGTTGGAGTTTCTCCTACTGACTTCGGTTAAAAAAAAGGTTAGACAAACGGCAAACAATTAGCACCTTTTACCTTGATTTTTAGTAGGTCACTAAATATTGCAAACCTGGCATGGATCAGATTCTAAACGTCTTTGATCTAGCTTGAATCTAGTACCACCAAAAAGAGATAGAACACCAATTCCTTGATGGCACTTAAACAAAACATTTGCCTCAGCTGTGAGCTGGATGGCAAGCTCTCTTGTAGGGCAAAGGATAGGCAAAAATATTGGGGACACTCAATGATTTGAATGGCTCTTCATAGCTGTCGACATAGAATTTTTGTCCCGTGCCGAGGACACACGCAGCAAGCCTGAAGGGTCTGCTCGATGGAGCTGTAGATCCGCCTAGCTTCAGCACAGGGGTGGTCGGTCCTATACACTCCTCCCGAGACGTGCCAGTCAATTTGACCTTGTAATTGATAATGAGAGAAAGTTCATCAGTAATTAAGGGCGGAACTTGCCGGTGTTGCCAGATAGTCCCGAATGTGCGGCTATGAGAGCCGATATGAAAGGAGATCGATTAAATAGTCGATTCTAGTATATTCATGAGAATCGATCGGTTAAAGCTCATTGGGTTGCATAAGAAGAATCGGTTATCATTCAGGATAAACGTCATTATTTACACAAATATTAATCAATGGCAATAAGATATCAACAATGATCGGTTTATGCTGAGCCAATGATTATAATTAACCAAACCTCTTTTTATATAAAGAAATAATTTGACACTATTTAACCATTTAATAAAGATAAATCTAATGAACATGTTAGATCTCATCTATCGCTATGACTAGTGGGGCATGAGGCAGAATCATGCAGGCCGTAGATATAACGATAGACTCGACGACCCTAACTCATTACTAATATCAGTGGGGCATGAGGCAGAATCATACAGGCCGTAATACAATAATGAGATCATGGGACTAACATATCTTTCAACCTAGCTTTACTTCAATGGTCTCGCGATGCGAACTGTTCGTGAAAGCACTCGATATCGGCTAGAACAGCCGATTCAAGCATAGCGCACAGTTAAAGTCATACCTTATCAGGAATAGATCTATCAAATAACGATCCCTACTCCACGGTGTGAACAGTGGGGTGTGAGGCAGAATCACACAGGCCGTGATAACAGGCCATGCAACGGTTCTCTCTAGCCAATAAATCTACTCAAGGCACAACACGCCTTAACCGCACGCTATGCACGATCAGGATTGACATAAAACAGTCGATAAAACATAACTCATCGTTTAAGGTGTAGATTAGATCAATTTAGATTAGCAAACGATGGGCTAAACAAGATATAAGGCCGATCTAGATCAATCCCAATCGGGCAGAGTGATATTACTGTAATTAGATAGATAATGAAAGCAATAAGCAATATCGGTAACTTAATAAATCTACCAAAGACTGTCATCCTAAGGTAGAGCCGATAACTTAACCTTGATCTAGTTCATGCAGGGGGGTCGACCGGATCGATGCAGCCATACTTGAACTAGGCAAGAGTCGATAACTAACTTATACCAGAGTCGCAGTGGAGGTTGACCGGATCGATGCAGCCGTACGAACAGAGGTATAAGCCATGACAGTACTTACAACAAGCAGTGGAGGTCGACCGGATCG